ATCATTTAGGTAGTCATAATTATTTAATTTCATCTCACACACTATATTACATATTGAACTCAATAAGTTTTCTAATTTATTTAATATAATTGAAACATTGATTAAATAATAATAAATGTATTACATTATTTAACTTCAGTCAAAATATTTGGATTTGCAGCTTAGTACATTAGATTGATTTGCTAAATATTATTTCTCTCTTAACAATAAGCATGAACATTTTTGTAGAATTTCATTGAGTAACCTACAAGAGGACTCGTTTGTCCAATCATTAAGAGCCCTAATTAAATGAAAATGAAAGTAAAATATTAATCAGCTGTCAGATATCTCTAAAACTCATTGAAATAAGCTAAAGCTAAAAGCATAAATGCCTCATACCAAATTACATATCTATCTAGATTAATCCAAATTACTAGATAGGCTTGTTTACATATTCTTACCTGCAAGAAGTGTTTGTTTACTTTAAATAATACGTTCTCCTATATCAATTACAAGAGTAGAAAATCATAAGTAATAGGATTCCATTTTTTTTTTAATTTTACTGTTATGAGTTATTAAAAATTTTCTACCTTTAATAAAATTCTATTTACATAACAAAGTTCCAAATAATATACTGGATTCATTTAAAATCAGACTTTTAAGAAAATTTTACTTAAAAAAATTATCAAAATAGTCTGGATAAAATGATAAAAATTTAACTTAAATTTTTCTATGATAATAATTTAATTAGAAACATATTATGTAGGTAAAATTCAATGATTTTTATTATCAAATGAAATAAGCTTAAATAATTGTTTAGAATTAAAAAACTTAATTGAAGCTTTTTTTGCCAATTAAATTTTATTAAGAGATTTTTTATTTTATAAATCAATATAAAATTAAAGGCCTATTAAATATTTTTTTAAAGTGTATAAAAGACCTAAATTTTTATGATAGACATATTTCCGCTTAATGAATTACCCAAAGAGTAAATCTAAATCCTTTATACTAATTGATCAGAAAATGTTATTGTAATTAATCCTTAAGCATAACCCTCAAATATTTTTATTTCCTCACTAGCATCTGAGTAACTAGTGAATACTTAAAAATGATGAATCCCAAAATCTAATCCTTATAGTGTTAATCTCATAAGCCTATCTTAATTACAAAATAATTGATTAATGAAGACTACACTAAGCATAGCCTAAATGTCCTATAAAATCAATTTTATATCTTAAAGGACTTTTTTAGTCTCCAATGCCATAAAATTAATTAATCGAGCATTCTCCATCAAACCCCATTTAATTCTGATACTACATCCTTGTAATAACCTCTTAATATTGATCTCAATATATCTGTTTTACAACTAGTTGTTATGGCAAAATCAAATAAATTTAAGAGAATAACGAGGAATAAATTATTCATGTAAAAAAATTATATTTTTTTCATATGATCAATTTATTAATAATAAAATCATTTTTTTTCCATACTTATAATAACTTTAAAGTATAATTTAACCAATTGCTATATAAAAAAAATATTCTCCATTAAATTTAAATCCTAAAATAATACGTTTAGAGTAATTGTAGTAGATCAATCTTATACTTTCAATTATAGCATGCTATCTATCTATCAGAAATTTGATTTTTTAAGAAATAATTTAGAAATTAAACTAGATATATTACATTTTTAACAAACCATTAAATGTACAATAATTATAAGATAATGAGGTTCGAACAAAAAATACTATTAATATTTCTAGTCTATTAGTAATAAAATATGTATTAAATGATAAATATATAATCCAATTTAATATTATTGTATATCTTCAGTGTAAGATCTATACTTTTGAATCAATTTTTTGAAAATCAAAAAAAGAATTTCAATAAGGTAAAATATGCAAAAATGAAAAAATTTCTTTTTGATACATCAATAGGTTATTCTACGATTGTTTTGATTTTTTATCTTTTTGATAATATATATATATTCTAAATTTTTTAATTTGAGAATTTAAGTAATTTAATTAAGTTGTCTAAAATTTCACTCTTTTATATGATATTTTTATAAATCAATTTAAAAGTTTAGTTAATTGGTTTAAATTACACTTATTTAGGTAATTTAAAGTAATATAAAAAGAGTTTTTAATTTGAATTGAGTTCAAATTTATCTTTTGAATAAACAATCTTCTTTCAAGAGGATTTTCTTCAAAAGACAAAAATTTATAAAAATTTATTAAATTCATACTTGAATATATAAAGCTTGTTTTATCAGCTTTAATAAAAAATTTTACTAAACTCAAATGTGCTTATTTTAAATAATAATAACTAAAATGTTATTTAAAATCTAAAATAATTATTATTAATCAAGTGCAATATGTATAGTATATTCAATTCAAGAAATGAAAAAATCATTCTTAATGATATCAATCTTAAATAGAACAATTCCATTTTTTATTGAATAGAATAATAATTATCCTCCAAAAAATATCAGATTATTCAATTTAATTTATTATCATTAAATACAGTTTTAATCTTTAATATCTCTCTAGCTCATATTACTATACAAAATACAATATGAGACAATCAATAATGACTAAGAGAAAATTTTATACAATATATAAAATATGTTAGTATTCTTTTAATATCAATTAATATTATTAATGATAATTATCTCATCACAAATTATTGAGGATCATGTATAATAATATATATTTCATAATAAATTATTGTATTATTGTAAAATTTGTTAAAAAGAATCCAACTGGATTACCAAGAAAAAATGACTAAAAATAAATTTTATTGTCTTCTATTCCAACTTTAAACAAGGTTTCATTAAAATCAATTATTATATCATTTTAACTAAAAGTTAAATGTTAGATTTTAGTATTAAATTTATCATTTTCCTTCTCGAATTAATTATTATTAATATTGTACTTATAGAACTTTAGATTTCTTTTGGATTTGGAATTTTAACATTATGTCCTAGATTTCATTCATCTATAAATATATATTTATTGCTTGTTTTTGGATTTGAGAAATAACCAATAGAGCAAAATCGAATTTCTATTCAATAATTTTCTACCTGATGCTCTAATATTACCTTTGATGGGTAACCTATATGAACATTTAACATAATATTTTACTATTTTCTAAATGTTGTATTTACCCATATTTATCAATTAGATTTACAAGCTTATTTCATGTGCTTATATGGGTAGCCTATAAAATCTCTCTGCTAAATTACTAATATAATAATCTCGTACCACCTCAGGAGGTGAATTCATTACTTCATTGCAGAGTAAACACCTGTTAGTTTCAATCTAGGATTCTAACTAGTCAAAACTCCTTTTTCACGAAAATAAACTATCCCTCCAACTAATTATAATTACTAAACTATTTCATCTATATCTAAGCCTTATTAAACTTCTCTACCTTTATAAATTTATTTATTCAACACTTTCTTATTAATTCTGAGCTAAATTAATATTATTTTTTAAAAGATAGCTTAGTTAATTTTTTATTATTATTTATAAATTTTAACATATTTTTATTCTAAGACTCTTGAGATTTAAATATTATTTTAAATTCTTGAATTTCTTTATTATTCCCAAAGACTCCAATTTTTTGGCAATAAACTTAATCTAGTAAACATATCACCATATGAATTGTATCTAAACTAGATGTGATGTCTCATTTTATGATAAAATTTTTAGTCTCAAAATCCTCCATTCTTCTCCCACTCATTCCCATCATGATTCCAATCATTATCAATTTTGATGTATTGTACTTTTTTAATATGCTATACCAGTCTTTCACAAAAAAAGTTGTATTTTTTTTTTGGAGCAATAATGATTGGAGAGAGAATTAATTTGTATTTTTTCTCTTCTATCAAACAATTTTATACATAATCTTTTTTCTAAGTACTTGTGTACTAATTAGGTATCATCTTCCAGTTTTCTCGTTCCGTAGGGAGTAAGGTCAATGTAGGCCTTAATCTTTAAGACTCATCTTTTCTTAGATTTCAGTTTTAATTTGATTGTCATTTTAATTCTTCACTTCTCCACAAAATTTGTAATTAGAATTAAAAATAATTAAGTAAGCTTAGTTGTGTTATTTGAATATCAAACCTGAAGGAAATAATATAAGACTTAAATTGCATTCTTAAAAGTCTTGCTGATAATTTTCTCATAATAATGATTGCATATGATATAAAAATGTTCCAATGATATTTTTCCCCCTAAAAAACTATATTGATTTAAATAAAATTTTTTTATGGAGAAATAATTATCTTAATTTGACTTAATATTGGTCAAATCATTAAAAAATAATAGGGTTAGAGTATATCCAAAGACCATTAGTAAAATCATAATCTACCTGAAAAAAATACTCTATGCAATCTAAGTATATTTTTATTAAGAAAACTTTATTTACATATTAAATGATGATACCTTTAATACATGATTTTTAATTCTTAAATAAGACTTTTTAATTAGGATATAAAGAAAGGTAGAAATTCAGAATTAGGATGGTACTTTAATTAACTTAAGAATCAATTGCATCAAAATTTATAGGTCAATGAATCAAGACTCTAGCTTCAATACCAAAAATGAAGAGTGTAACACTTTTATGATAAACACCTCATTTATTGTAAAAGGTATTTTTTGTATAAAAATTTAGAAAATAATAAAATTTTGAACATATAGCTTAAGTATCTAATTTGAAAAGCAATATACCAAAAGGATGTGTTTTATCTTTTTTCTAACTGAAATATCTATTATAAGGAGGAGCATATAAATATACAATTTTTAACGCCTTTGTCTATTAATTAATATAAAAAAAAACAAAAAATTAACAGATAATATATTGTTATTTTCACTTAGAGTTGACTGTACTAGTTAAAAAATTTGTCTATATTCAAATTAATTAATAACATTAAATATTCTTTAAATCTTGATGTAAGTAATTGATTTTTTATGAAGCTCCAAAAGTATTATAAAGACTAAACATAATTGATTATCTTTTTCAAACTAATTTATAACCATCATCATTATATATTTTATTATACTTAATACCCTCAATATTATAAATTTCATCTATTATAACAAAATTTTTGAATTCATACTTAACTTGTTCTCTTCTTTCCCAATAATTATTTCATTATCATCACCTGCACATGAAACTAATAATGTTTCTGATTAATTTAAACTTAACGCCAAAACTTCATTATAATGTTGATATAATAATAAATGTATGTCAATATTTTTTATCAAAATCAACCTTCCATACTTTAATTGATTTATCATCACTTCCAGAAAATAGTAAATCCTCATTTAAATTCAATAAGAGACAAATTACAAATCTTTATGTTTTTTATAAGGTTATGAACTTATCCAATCACTTGAGTCCTATTATTTCCAGCATCTTATGGTCGTGTCACCTGAAACAAAAGAATTCTATTTCTTACTATAAACTAAACATTAAATCCATTTAGTAATCCTTACAATATGTTTGTTAATTGAATTTTTCCATTTAGAAAGCTCCATACTTTAATATCTTTCGATTAAGTTGATACTATAATTGACCCAGAAGAATCAAAAACTATATCTTAACATCCCACACTTTATTTAACAGAATAATCAATTAACTTTAATCTGATTTTCCTTTTTTGTGGATGAATTGAACAAATGATGTTAGTAAATTTTTATTTTATTTCATTAAAGTTAACTTTATCTTTATCTTAAATATATTAATTTAAGATTATCAATAGTTTAGCCATCCAAGATCTATTAATGTTATATTAGAATCATTAATATTATTCTATTTCTTAATAAAGCTATCTAACTCATCATATAAATTGTATTATTTTGATTATTATATTAAGGTAAATAAATTTTATGTCCATTCCTCTGCTATACTAATTAAAGAATCAAATAATTTCATAAAATATGCCTTTAATTCTTATATATTTCTTTTACAAATTTATAGTTATTAAACTGTTTGCTAAGTGATGCCTTCTAAGTCGCTCATAGTTTACTTGATATTATCTTCAATAATCTAGATTATTTTTTTAACTCCTATTGTCTTTGCATCTGATTCGAAATTTTCCATACAATCAGTGCATAAAAGTCTTTGTTTCTTATCTAGCTTTGGATCAAGCACAACCAAATGAACTGGTTGGCCATGTTTATTTTGACAATGCAAATTGTTTTGATTTTCTATCATTTTTGGTTTAAACATTTAATTAAATAATAATAAACTTTATTGAGATGAGATTGAGACTTTTACTTGAAAAACAATTTAATTTTTAAACATTAAAAAAACAATGAAGTTAGTTCAAATTATAAATAGTAACAGAAATATAAGTCTTTTTAGCCACTTATTTCGATTACAAAATAAAAATTAATAAACTTGCAAATTGTGTAGTAATTTCTTAACTACATAAATACTTTTTACAATTATGAATTGATTCATCAATAAAAACAACTCATCAATGAAGCCGATTTAGTTAGATGTCAAATTTTTTTAAGTAACTGTAACTCTAATAATCTAAATATCTAAAAACAGAGATAGAATATCTATCGAAAGTTTAAATTATTTTAAAAATAAAGGGTCACATATCAATCAGAGAATTCGATAAATACTAAATCAAAGTAAAACTTCACTAATAATGATTTGTTACCAGATTCTACCATATCACAGTAAAATAAACTTGAAGAATACAACTAATTGATATGAATCATAATTTTGTACATTAAAGCTAAATAATATATTGTTTTATACTTTAATTACAGAAGTATGGCAAGAAAGTTATTTTGAGAACTCTAGACAAATGGATAAAAAATCACTATTTATTAGATTAATTCCACTAAATAAAAAGCGCAAAACTCTTTTTTAATTAAAGAAATTTAACAAGTTAATATCACTACTAAATGATACAATGCTAAATAAAAATTCCATTAAGGAATACGAATTACAATTCTTGTAAAATATCAATGATAATCTAAACTTTATGCTCCTATATAAAAAAGAAACATAAGATTAAAAAATGGAGTTTTATATAAATCTACTCTCAGTCTTTATATATTTTACTGTTGTATTGTTTTTAATTGATTCTCTTTAAGAATTTTTTATGGATTCCTAATTGAGGAGAGGAGAAAGATTTCTGAGGTAAATTTCAAATCAATAACACTACAAGAAAAAACAACAGATGTTATTCAAAGGCCTAAATCTCAAACTTTAAAGATGTTTGTTAATTTAATTTTATATAAATAAATTCTTGATCATTTTTTTATCATTTAAGTATTGAGAAAAATAATTAGATTTGAGAATTTATTCTCAGAATTTGGGAAACAGTTGAAACTAAGTAATATTTGATAAAGAATTTCAATATTCTCCAAGTAGATTTGATAGAATTGTGATCTGAATATATTTGATTGGAAAGTATTTTATAGATCTACTCATTTATTATGTCCATTATTAGATTGCAATTTGATAAATGAGTCCAGAATTATTAGAAGAACAATAATAGATAAAATTACTTATGTGCTTCAAGATATTATTAAATAGTGCTCTTTCAACAAAAATTTTACAAAATTCTTAGATTAGTTGAATTAATGCTTGATAAATATTTTAAATATAATCTGACTTTATTTTTATTACTACTTATTGTCTTCTCATATTTGGTTAGCACGATATATTATCAATAAAATACATTTAGATTTATTTAATCTAACTAGTTGACAATGATAAAGTGATTCACTGAACATCTGCTTATAAGGATTATCAAATATCGATAGATTAGATTATTAAGAAATTAAAAAAATTAAGTAGAAAAATTTCTCAAAAAAAAGTTAATAAGTTTGCCTTAATAATAAATTATCAAAGTATTAGGTTGTATTATATATTAATAATGTATAAAGGTAATTAAGAATATAATAGGTTATTCTACCTTTTGAAAATAAATTAAAATAATTTGCTTGATCCATAATTTTTAATTTTTAGATAATAAATTGATCAATATAAAAATTTCACAATAATTGTAGTATAAGTAAAGTCATTAATGATATAATTGTAGTTAATTGAACTCATTGAATCATTATTGTACAATATAAAATAACTAATTGAATTTATATTATTAATGTGATTTCTATATGTATATTTATGATATTAGAGTATGAAAAATATTTAATTAGTTAATTATTTTATTTAGATTTAAAAATGGAAATCTTTAAGTGTAAATATATTGACCATGAAAATGAAGAAATAATTGGATTTTGCTTGAATCAAAGTTGTTAAAATGCAACTCAATTTTGTTATAAATGTTTAAATACTACTCATTCAGAACATCTCAATGATTGTATAAGATTTTCTAAGATAATCTAATTTATCAAGGAGTTTGTGCTAAATTAAAATAAAAAAAAGATATAATTTTAAGAAATCTCTTAACAAATTTAGAATTGTTCTGAATGCATTTTTAAGAAAATGGATTTAGACATTAAAATATTAGAAAAAATGACTAAACAACTTATTGACTAAGAATACTTGACTTTTAAGTCATAAATTCACATAATCAAACAGTTTTACTCAAAGGAAAAAGAAAATTACATATGTATATTATTTTAGCAATTATAATAGTATAAGAAATATTATAATTAAATATTATTCTTGAAGCAATAAAAAAGATGATACCTCAAGAAATTTAAGTGGATGATAAAATGTTTTCAGAATATTAAGATGTAATTAAAATGGTAGAGATTAAACAAGTGAGTGATGATGTTAAACAGTAGAATATTCAAGAAGCTTATAGAATATTAAATAAAGGTGTTAGTTTATTTTAAAATTAATAGGTTTAGCATTACATAATTTACAGAAATACTAAGAAGCGATTGAGTGTTACGACCAAGCAATTTTAATTAATCCTACTTATTATACTGCATGGAACAACAAGGGTACGTAATTTAAGATACTACTATTTAGGTTTTGCTTTACATCACTTATAGAAATATTAAGAAGCCATTGAGTGTTATGACAAAGCTATCTTAATTAATCCTAAAAGTGATGCTGGGTGGAATAATAAAGGTAACAAATTTTAAAGACTATTATTAGGGTTTTCATTAAATAATTTAAAGAAATACAAAAAAGCTATTGAGTGTTGCGACAAAGCCATTTAAATTAATCCTTAAAATAATTCTGCATGGAGTAACAAAGGTAAGTAATATTTAGAATTATTAATTAGGGTTTGCATTAGATAAATTATAGAAATATTAAGAAGCGATTGAGTGCTATGAAAAAGTTATCTAAATTAATCCTAAATGTGATGTAGCATTAAGTGATAAGGGTAAATAATTTAAACTACAATTATNATGGAAATCTTTAAGTGTAAATATATTGACCATGAAAATGAAGAAATAATTGGATTTTGCTTGAATCAAAGTTGTTAAAATGCAACTCAATTTTGTTATAAATGTTTAAATACTACTCATTCAGAACATCTCAATGATTGTATAAGATTTTCTAAGATAATCTAATTTATCAAGGAGTTTGTGCTAAATTAAAATAAAAAAAAGATATAATTTTAAGAAATCTCTTAACAAATTTAGAATTGTTCTGAATGCATTTTTAAGAAAATGGATTTAGACATTAAAATATTAGAAAAAATGACTAAACAACTTATTGACTAAGAATACTTGACTTTTAAGTCATAAATTCACATAATCAAACAGTTTTACTCAAAGGAAAAAGAAAATTACATATGTATATTATTTTAGCAATTATAATAGTATAAGAAATATTATAATTAAATATTATTCTTGAAGCAATAAAAAAGATGATACCTCAAGAAATTTAAGTGGATGATAAAATGTTTTCAGAATATTAAGATGTAATTAAAATGGTAGAGATTAAACAAGTGAGTGATGATGTTAAACAGTAGAATATTCAAGAAGCTTATAGAATATTAAATAAAGGTGTTAGTTTATTTTAAAATTAATAGGTTTAGCATTACATAATTTACAGAAATACTAAGAAGCGATTGAGTGTTACGACCAAGCAATTTTAATTAATCCTACTTATTATACTGCATGGAACAACAAGGGTACGTAATTTAAGATACTACTATTTAGGTTTTGCTTTACATCACTTATAGAAATATTAAGAAGCCATTGAGTGTTATGACAAAGCTATCTTAATTAATCCTAAAAGTGATGCTGGGTGGAATAATAAAGGTAACAAATTTTAAAGACTATTATTAGGGTTTTCATTAAATAATTTAAAGAAATACAAAAAAGCTATTGAGTGTTGCGACAAAGCCATTTAAATTAATCCTTAAAATAATTCTGCATGGAGTAACAAAGGTAAGTAATATTTAGAATTATTAATTAGGGTTTGCATTAGATAAATTATAGAAATATTAAGAAGCGATTGAGTGCTATGAAAAAGTTATCTAAATTAATCCTAAATGTGATGTAGCATTAAGTGATAAGGGTAAATAATTTAAACTACAATTATTTAGGTTTTGCATTATATAATTTACAGAAATATTAAGAAGCCATTGAGTAATGCGAAAAAGCCATTTAAATTAATCCTTAAAATAATTCTGCATGGAGTAACAAAGGTAAGTAATATTTAGAATTATTTATTAGGGTTAGCATTAGATAAATTATAGAAATATTAAAAAGCGATTGAGTGTTATGATTAAGCTATCTCAATTAATCCAAAATATGATGTCGCATGGAATAATAAAGGTGAGGACTTTTAAAATATTATATTTTAGGTCTTGCATTAAATAAATTACAAAAATATAAAGAAGCTATTGGGTGTTACGATAAAGCTATCGCATTGAATCCTAAAAATGATACTACATGGATTAATGCGGGTAATTAATTTTAGCTTTAGTTTTAGGTTAAGCTTTATATAATTTACAGAAATAAGAAGAAGCTATTGGGTGTTATGATAAAGCTATCCTAATTAATCCCATAAATTATACTGCATTAAATAATAAGGGTAATAAATTTTTAAGAATTATTAAATAGGTTTTGCACTAGATAAATTACAGAAATATTAAGAAGCGATTGAGTGCTATGATAAAGCTATCTCAATTAATCCAAAATATGATATCGCATGGAATAATAAAAGTAATTTCTTTTTAAGGATTGTTTTTTAGGTCTTGCATTAATTAATTTACAAAAATACTAGGAAGCTATAGAGTGTTGTGACTAAGCTATTTTAATTCATCCTTAAAATAATTCTGCATGGAATCATAAGGGTATATAATTTAAAAGGTTTTATTCATTAGGGCTTGCCTTAAATAAATTACAGCAATACTAACTAGCATTTGAATCTTTTGACAAAGTTATCTTAATTAATCCTAAAAATGATTCTGCATGGAATAACTAGGGTAAATAATTTTTTAAGCATTACTGATTAGGGCTTACATTACATAATTTATAGAAATATTAAAAAGCAATTGAATGCTACGAAAAAGTTATCTAAATTAATCCTAAATTTGATTCTGTATGGAATAATAAGGGTAAGTAATGTTTAACCAATTTTTTAGGTCTTGCATTATTTGAATTACAAAAATACAAATAAGCAATTGAGTGCTACGAGAAAGCTATTTCCTTTTATCCTAAACATGATTCAACTTGGGTTAATAAGGGTAATTTATTTTATACAGTATTTTTTAGGCAAAGCCTTACATAAATTACAGAAATACAAAGAAGCTATAGAGTGTTACGATAAGGCTATTTAAATTAATCCAAAATAAGATAAGGCATGGATTAACAAGGGTAAATTATGGAATAATTTAGGCGTTGCATTACATAATTAAAAGTAATACAAAGAGGCTATTTTATGTTATGATGAAGCTTTTTCAATTCATTTCAACCCTATAAATTTAAGGTTTAAAGGTATTCAAATTCTTAATATAAATTTAGCTGATTCATTATTGGAATTAGGGGAAAAAAATTAAGCCAAGCAATTTTATATGTCTGCATTAGAAAAAGGATTAAATTAAGAATATATAGAGAAATAGTTAGCTAAGTTATGAATCATTATTAAATCATAATATAACATTATTAAGCCAAAAAATTTAAATTATTCAAATTTTACTATTTTAGATTCGGTTTTAATAAATATCAACCATCAATAAGTTTCCATTTATAATCAATAAAATAAATATCACTACAAATTTAAATTCATGAAATTTTAGCCTTAATTTAATTCTAAGAAAAATATTAATAGATCGAAGTTTGATGATTTACAGTCAAAATGATTATATCAATTTTTCTCAAGTGCATTGATTGTTATATAAATTAAATCTTCGGCTAATCTAACAAAATAAATTAATTGTAAACTTATTATTGTAACCACACATTTAATAATAAAAATATGAAATACTTATAGTTATTATTTTATTATATCAGTTACAATTTGAAAACTAAATCTTAATTTATAAAAAAAATAAATTAAGGTAAAAAATATGAATCTCAGTAATTTTTGGAATCCCTATATTGAAACATTTTAATCTTAACTGTTTTAGACAATATTTTATCTTTTTCAAATAATTTCATTCTTCATCTAATTTTGTATTATTGCCATTGAATTTTGAATCTATTTTATAGTTTAATGGCTTATTTATCTAAAATGATTTTTTGATCTATCTTCTCTTATTTAAGGAGCATGAAGAGGAAAAAAGAAAAAAATTTATGTTTAATAATAAAAGATTATTCCTACTCCAGTTCTCCTTCTCTATTACTCTAATTCTTTTGATAAATCTCATAGATTCTAATAGCAAGTGAGGATTATTGTCATTTTTTTTCAATTAATCTAATCAATTATTATATCTCCAACTTCTAAATTTGATAATTCTTTGATACACATAATTTAAATATTTGGAGCTTATTTAGTTTTCTTCCTTTTCTTTCTCCTCTAGATTTGCAGTAACAATAGAGCCAGGCTATCGGTTTGCTGCTAAGAATACAAATTTTTATATAATCATATCTCCTATTTATAACCGATATGATAGAACAACTTAAATAGGTTTTGAGATTTTTATATGTGCTTAGAGTATTCTTCTAAATGAATTTTCTAGCTAAGTTTATCTTAAATTCTATTGATTTTTGGATAAATATAAAATCAAATTTCTTAAGCTAAAATTATTAAACATTAATTCCATTAGTAGCATCTAATTAAGAGGGATTGAAATGTTATTATTGAATACAATAAATAATAGAAGGATGAAATTAATCCTCAGTCTTGATAAAAAAAAGAAAATTTTCAAAATAATAAGAAAAAGAGAGAGTTAGGGAAGTAGAATCATTTATTTAATAAATAGAAAATCTCTAAGTATTAATTAGAATGACAAATAAAAAAGTACTTAAAATTGAAGAGATTTAAACTATCTCACAAATTTTTTCACTTACCTCTTTAGATCTAAAATTAAAGAAGACATTTTGTAAGGTTATTATTATTTTCATTAAAATCTCAAATGCATGAGCATTAGAAATTAAATAAATCCCTGATTTTTGATAAAAATTTATAACGAACTCTATGATTGATAATATTTTACAAACTAATTAAGGCTTATCAATATCTATAATTGATAATGTATCCAGTTATCTGACTTTTGCTTTTTCTCTTTAATATAATATGTATAAGTCTATTAAAATAATAAAGAGTTTTATAAAATTATTGTCAAAATAGGAATGTGTGAGTGAAAAATTCTAGAATACCTAAACAAAAATCTTATATTTAAATATATTTGTCCTAATTTAGTATTATAACTATCAAAAACCCTTAAAATTGATTAGCTATAATAAACTTAAGATATGTAATTATAATGTATTTCAATGATTATTTATGCTTATTTGGTTATAATGGAATATTTTAGGAAATAAATTAAATTAATTACTGTTTGTGATTAAAAGCATTTATCTAATACAAATGCTTTTTTTTAAATATTTCAGGCGGGTCAGTACATAAAAATATAACAATAACTTTAAAGATGACTTATAAACTGCAAAGATTTAAAAAATTATTATTTTAAATTTAATAAAGAAATTTATCGAACTATTAATAATTCTCTAGATTAAATTCGGTTTTGATTTCTAAATATATTAACTCAGTTTGGAAGGCTGATTTTAAATAACTTTCTCATTTGATATTGGAAAATTCCTATAAGTTTCTAAAAATTAACTGATCCTTAGCTGAATAATCAGTCTTTGCATAATTAATCTTCATCAAAAATTGAATAATTAAAAAATTGTTAATAATTTTGGATTAATACAGAATTAAATATTTCATTTATTAAGCATTTGATTACAAACAATAATGTGGTCTTTTAAGTAAGATTAATTGAATGGTTAAGAATAACAAATTTTATTTTTTAATATTATAATCTATCTAATTTAAATAGAATAGATTCCTATTCTAAGAATGATAGCTCAGCTTTAATCACTCTAACTATATTTTTTTATCTTTAAAAATTATAAGATAAACTAGATATATAAAAAATTACCTTTAATTAAATAAATTTAGATTTGTCTTTACATCACATACATATTAATTTACAATATTCTATCATAAAAATTTATTGAAATTCTTTAGCAATAAACTTAAAAGAGTATATCAGTAATTTTTAAAGAACATATAAAAACTTAGGTTGTTGTCATATATATCTATCCCTTATGAATAATATTCAATTTATGAATGTATAAAATCAGATAGCTTAAGAAATGCTAATAGTTATTCTACCCTCTAAAAATTCCTAATAGTGATTTTGAAATGGAAAAATATCACAAATAAATCTTACTATTCTAACATATCCAATTTAATGAATTAATATCCTCATAAAAATTAAAAAGATCTTTGCACTTTTAAATAATTGATAGATATAACTAATTCAAATTTTTACAATTAGTAATGAATTCTTATAAAATTAATAACAATGATCTTATGATCTACTCAAATTACTTTTTCTTAATGATCTTTTGTATATATTATTAACTTTTTAATAATACTAACGCTTACATTCACTAATGTATCCATTATACTTTACTTAAACATTAGAAAAATAGGAATTCAAAATTTTTTTAGCTTATATAATTTATATTAAATTAACTAAATTAATAAAAATATTTAACATCTTTTATGAATTTCTTATTCACATAAATGTTTATTTTATTCCATTTTCATACTAGTTTCACTTCTTGAATTAGTTTATTAGTGAATGTTTAGATTGATGGTAAAAATATTTAAGTAACTTAAGCTTCAAAATTAAAAGTGCTATGAACAACAGGTGGATAAGGGGCGAAAAGAAGTTATTCAACAAAATCTTCAATAGTGTTAAAAGATTACTAATCATAGGATATATTTCAATAACTTACATCTAATTATTATTAAACCTCTTAAAGACATTCTCCAACTTTATTTTACAATTAATCAACAATCAATTTAGTATTCATTTAATTTATTATTAACATATTTTATTAAACTTTACTTAAATTTTTTATATAATAATACATAAAATTAATAATCTTGATAATTTAATTGATTTATAGAGATAAATTAGACTCTAATACTTAATTGAAGCTATTCGATCAAATTTTTTTAATATTTTCCATCAAAACTGCATTCTTAGGCCTAAACCTTAAACATTTTTCATAGTTTATAAAATCTTTCCTTTATACCTTAATGGTTTATTTTTGAAATAGTTATCTATATCAATTATTTTTAACATTTATCATTTCTCTTTATTGTCTTAATTGTGATCACTGGAATTACATAATTTTTTTATTTCAACAAGTTCTTGCTTAATTAAAAATATAATTTATATTAAATTATTTTAGGACATACATTTTTAAAAACTATAAAATGCTATTCAAAATCAAAAAAAAAAAAAAAA